TGTAAGTTTAACATTTGATGGTGCTTCTAATAATCTAACAATGGCCAATCTCTTGGGCTGTAATTTACATCATACAACTTTAAAAACTAGTTTCAAGCATCCATCAAATAATGAAGAAATTGTTATATTTTTAGATCCGCCACATATGCTAAAGTTAATTAGAAATACTTTAGCAGAAAAGTATTCATTTGTAAATGAAGAAAATAAAATTGTTGAGTGGAAGTATTTCAAACAACTTCACGAATTACAGGAAAATTAATCTTTCCACTTAGCAAATAAGCTAAACTCGCAACATATAGCTTTTAAAAAACAAAAAATGAAAGTTCGTCTTGCAACCCAACTATTTAGCGAAAGCGTCGCAATTGCCTTAGATTTTTATGTGAACGTTCTACATATTGAAGATTTAAAAAATGCTGGGGCATTAATTTTATTATAAAAATGAACATTCTGTTTGACATCCTGAATTCACGAAATCTTTTGCAATTCAATTATAAGAAACCTCTATCTGAAAATTATTACAATAATACATGTATTTTTCTTGCCTCTATCGATAAATATATTAGTTCTTTAAGAACACATGCTGATGGTAAACTTCTATTAGAAACTGATAGATCCACTGGCTTTCTAGGTTTAAAAATATGCATTGCAAGCCTAAAATTACTATACAATAATTTAATTGTAGAAAATAAGTTTATAAAATTTTTGCCTTTGTACAAAATTTCACAAGACAATTTAGAATTATTTTTTTGTTCAATACGGTCTCATGGAAGTTTTAACAATAATCCTTCAGTCAGGCAATTTCAGTCTGCATATAAAAAAAATTTTGTTCATGTTGAAATAAGAGATAGTTTCCGTGGAAATTGTATTTCTTTGGAGGAATTAACTATTTTAAAGTGCAATATAACAAACCAGTTAAATGTTACTTCAAAGGAATATGCAATGTCTGATAATATTGACGATTTTGAGAAAGTGAATGTTATTGAAAATGATCATGATTATTTACCAGATCCAGTCTCCTCCTTTTCTAAATATATAATCACTTACATTTCTGGATATGTTGTTTATTATTTAAAAAATAAAATCATTTGTGAACAATGTATAGATGCTTTAATAAGTAAAACTAGAAATTTGTTTCTATTTTCATTCATTGATATAAAGAATAAAAATGGTTTGCAATATCCATCGGAAGATGTAATAAACATTTGTTTAAAATGTGAAAAAATATTAAAAATTATGAAAGACTCTAAGAAAAAAATATCAGTTGATATCATCAGCACATTAGTTTTAAAAGAATTCATAAATTTTAATGTCTTTTCGAATATTATGCAGCACAGTTTGGACCAGTTTGTTAGATGTTCATAGAATATTATTAATCAAGTGCATAGTTGATAAATATGTTAGTATCCGACTAACATATCTCACTAAAACTAGAGTTAATAAAGCTGCTAGCATAAGACATCAAGACAACAAAATAGTGTTGTTTAAAGGTCAGTAAATATTTTTTTAAATATTAAAATTTTTTTTGTAGTGTCTTATTAAGAATGGGACACAGAAAAACTGAAGAGTTACCTATAATTTTACCAAATTTGGCAAAAGTTTTTGGTGTCATAAGATACGTTACACTTATTTGAACTATAATTATATATTTTTTAATGTTTTTTAAGTAAATCATATAGGTACTTTTGTTGGGAACTTATAAGAAACTTCAAAATTAAAATGAAGAATATTCGCATTCTAAGTATAGTCTTATTTTTAATCAGACTCTTCAGTTGTTCTGTATCCCTTTCTCAATGAGACACCTTGTATATAAACTTCCCACTTGAACAATTTTATATTTTTCAAGTATGTACGATACAGGTGAATCAGAAATTAAAGCAAAAAGACAACTTATAACAAAGGTTTAAATTTAGTAATGTCAAGTCATCCTTGCACCCTAAAAAAGTACCAATGAAGAAATTATTCCTCCAATGCAACCAAACAGTTATTTTTAGGATAAGATTTTATGTCAAATGTTATCCACAGCCACAGGGTTTCTTTTTAAATGGCATGACATTAAAAATTTTGGTCAAAACAATTTTCATCATGCACTTTTCTTGGAAATTCACAATGTTTTATTAGGATTAAAAACACCAGTTTCTAGAAACTTTTTCACTATAACACTAACATTACTGATCAGAAAAAGTGGTTAAAGTTTTCTTTTTGTAATCACAAATCGCAACTGAATGCTTATTTTTAAAATAAAATATCACTAGTAATACCACTAGAGGTCAAATTATTTCCGGAAATTTTTTCGAGCTCATGAATATTTTGAAAATTTTCTAAAAATATTCATGAGCGAGAAAAAATTTCCTGATATTAATTTGACCTCGCGTGGTATTCGGTAAGAAAATTCCACGCCGAATTATGGTTGAAAATTAAATATTTTTAAAATTTATTTTTCGTTTCTCAACAATGCAAATTATTTTCTCCAAGTCACCAGTGAAACATAAAAGGTGTTGTCGCCTTGATTGTTGAGTTGTCATGGTAACTAAGTGAGACCCTAACCTCGAATATAATTTCAGTTTTGAAGTTGTCAAGCGGCCCGACGTAAAAAATGTTTCGCTGCAATTATTTAGGCCTTCAAATTGCTTATTTCTACTCATTGTAGTTGCATGAGAATACCATTTGAAAATAGAAAATAGTATATTCTTTAATTTTACGTAAGTTTTGAATAACTACAAGTGGTAGAAAATTGTTTTTCTGCGTTTTTATTAACATGCGTTATGAGCGCTTTAAAATGGTATGAAATTCATAACCAGCATCAATCGTAGGAGGCTGTGATCATTGTATTTTGACAGTTCAAAACATTAAATAACTCGCGTTTTGTTGCGATAAAGAATATTGCACAGCAAGTTAAACCAACAAAATTACCTATTTGTTTAAAAATGAATCGATTTGAAAATCATACGCTATGCAAAATATGCGTGAAATTGTCTGATGTAATGATCAATCATTGCACCATGACTTACTTACTCGGATTAATAGAGGATTGTGGCTCCAACTTGAAAAACGAAAATTTGTTCCGAATTGTCCACGAATATCTGCACCTAAACTACGCAAAATTCAAAGTGCTGAATGGGAAAAAGGTGAATAAATTAGTGTCTAAATATTATATATATTTTATTAGACATAGACACATAATTCAAAGCATCCAAAGTCCTGCATTTTCGCCATTAAGAAGAAAAGAAGTGGCCGAAGAATATAGAAAACACCTTAGCATTGTAACTAAAATGTATCAAAACTAAACCTATTATGTGAACAAATAAAAACCAGTCTGTCAAAAATGGTCTGTTATTGTAAACCTCAAAAAATTTCCAGTATAATTCGCTGTTGGGTACCCCACGAGAAAAAATTTCCACTAAAATACCTCCGTTGCCATGGTGATCTGTCAAAAACACGTATGTTGATTGGTTCAAAATTACAGGTGTGGAATTTTCTCTATAATTCCATTTGTATAGTGGTATGCTGTGCATCTGTGAGATTGTTGTTTATTATACATAAATACCAATTATAGAAATCTTTAGTAAGTACTTGCTTGCAATTTTAGTAATATATGTACCTACCCTATATAATTATTTCAAACCTAAATAAAACCAACAACTATTATCTGAGTCTTTTTAGTTCCGATTGGTTTTGACAGAAGAGTTTTGATCATGGTTTTCTTCTATCTACTTTTAATCATAAGGTCTTACCTAGCTAAAATTTGTTCTTTTTAAACTTTTGACTGTAGCGGGTCATATTTTTAATGTATGCCATCTGCAGCAGAAAGACCTACATGTTTTACATTTAAAAGTAATTAATTGTCCTTTCTACAAACTCGGCTGTATTTTTACTGAAATATATTTGTTCACAATTCACGTAGTGGTTTGGTTTTTGGTTTGGTAATTTGATGTCATAATTCTCCTCATTGTCAGATTTTGACATTGGCAGCTTTGATCAAGACAAGAGAGTCCTTGAACGAAAAATCGTAGTTCGGGTTTTAGTTTTAAAGCACAAAGAGATTAACAAATCTGATGCACAGTGTTATTCGAACGTTGATTTTCGATCACACAGGTCATATATCGGACGGTTTCGGCGAAGACAGAACAATATAATAATATTAATCTCTTATGATCTTGGCATTGGCTTGGTCGGAAAACGGTTAATAAATAATAGTAAATAGTGTAGAAGTCATAATTGCGCAATGTCAATGTCATCAAATTAATTTCGAATCGATCATGTTGAAACAAATCTTAGGTAAGTAAGTCATATAAAAGTTGTAATTCTGCATACGGACTAATTATATTTGATATACGACCCTGCTTAGTCAACCATTTAAGCCACGCCCTGTGGGATCATTTTTAATAAAACGTATCATATGCAAAACAATTGCCTCATGGCATCTCCATTAGTATTATACTTCCATGGTAGGAATGCGGTCGCTAGGCAAGTTGTTTTTTGGGCAGAAGTCAACGGAAAAAGTCATTCTTGTAATCTCAATTTTTTATATATAAGAAACCCTGTATTAGATAATAGAATAGTTGTAAAAGAATGTTAATGTGTTCCTGTTCCTGTTCATGGTAACATAATACGAATACAAAAGATCGCAGCTAGTGTTAAACCAAAAGATACGAGCTGTGGCCAGTCGTAAGAAATGGCACTCGTGATGAGGATGTAGCCAGCAGCATCATCCCCATTCAACAGTCGTAAGATGAAAAAAATTGTTTGTAAAAATTATTAATAAAATATTTTAAAGTAGGTATTGGCATTTATTCTTAAAGAGTATTAAAAAAATATGCTTAAAAAATCCGGATTATCCGAGCCGCCAATTATCCGATCTAGGGCACAGCCCACATTAGCTCGGATAATCGGGAGTCTACTGTATTTGATGTTTAAAGTTAAAAATGCAATGCTTTTTAGAGTACCTATGTTTCAATGCATAAATAATGCTTTTTAATTTGCTAAATATTACATTTTTTTAGGATGTTTTTTTTCACTGGGCCTACTTCTACATTACAAGATTATGGTTTCTTTTCACTAAATTTGCAAGATATCTAATTACGTCTATGGATCAATTTATTGAGGTAAAACAAATATATTATTATATATAATAAAATATATAAAAAAAAATCTTACAATAACTTAAATGAATAAAAGTAACTCAAAAAATTAAATGTATAGGGTTACCTACCAAATAAAAATATAACCTTTACTTTAAAAATGCCCAGATGCTTATTTTTCGCTAAAAATGAATTATAATATTTTTTCCTAGCAAACACAATATAAAACACAATATACAAAATGCTATTTATGGGCTATTTACAAGCACAAATGTAAACAAAAACAAACCATTACAAATAGTTTAAATGTCAATGATCTTAATTTCATACTCCATTATCCAATAAAAAACGGTACATATGAAACACCCTGTATGTCTATTTATTTATATACAAATATGATACTAACGTTCAGTAAGGGCGAGGCACTTCAAGAATGTATTTAATTTTATATTTTTTGATTTTAGGATAATAGTCCAAAAGAGGAAATTGTGCTCAATCAGACCCTTACACATGTTTGTATGTTTATCGTAATGCTAACGATATCATTCATTCCTCTTGTAATATTAAGCCTTCAACAAATGTATAGAACGAACATACCGAATTTTTTAATCTGGTACGTATAAAGAACCTTAATAAATCTATTACGTATAGACCTATTTAAGATTATCAAACTAACTATTAAAAATACTTTTCTTATTAATTTATTTAACGTCGGCCTATTTCTAACTATCCAGAAACTTCTGATGTTCTAACCAAAGGTAGGGATTTTTTTTGGGAGTGGGAAACCGCTTAGCACCCGCTACTGAGTCTATTCAGCAGTATTGTCACGCTTCGTATAAATTCACATTTTTTCCAAATTCCAATTAATTATTTAAATAACGTCCTGTACATAAAACTTTGTTTAATTATGTCGACAATTTGTTTTAAATTGCAATCATGTGCAAGGTTGATTATTTAAATAATTATTAAATATAAATAAAATAATAACACGGGACAACAAAAAAAAATTTTAAGCTATTGCATAGCTTTTATCGCGGGCTTTGAGCGTGGTGACCGAATCAAGAAATTTCCGTAACGACCGTAACGAAAATAACCTAACACCCCCCACTCCGACCGGTACAGCGGTGCCGTGGAAGGTTTTATCCGAGTCCAACCCTATTCGTATTAGCCCAGTATAAAGAATAATACAGTAGCGACAGATCATTTTTTATGAGGTGTCCATATTTTTCTGCGCATGTCCGAAAATAAGCGACAAAAACGTCAACGTCAATAGTGTCAATGCGATGTAAATATGACATTATTTTTGTTTGTTTGCAGTGTATATTTTGAGACATTTTTATTATTTTAGTTTTTCATTTATTGTGTGATATTTTTGAAATGGCTTCTGCACCTGATCAGAAAAAAAAGAGATGTGTCTATCGCCCTTGTCCATCTCAAACAGAGTAAACAGACAAAGGGACAAGTTATTTTGCATTTCCCATGGAGCCATAAAGGTATGTCTTGAGAAAATACTTTCAATTTTTATATTTGAAAACCAAATATTTATTTGACAACCAAATATTTATTATTTAAATGTCTTGAGGACAATTTTTACAATTTCAACAAAAATAATGTAAAAAATATATAATTTCTGAACTACCGTCAATCTAAACATTTGTTATCAACTTTTTTATATTTTAGGGCCAACATGTGGTTAAGAGCTTGTAATAGGGAAGATTTGAGTAACATAGATGTGAACAGTCTTCATCGGAATTACAGGTTGTGTGAGAAACATTTTGAGAAGAATTTTTTTTTCTAAAACGTTGAACCGTAAACGTTTATTGCCTACTGCTGTTCCCACATTTTTTATCCATCTAGGTCATCAGCCAAATGTCTATCTTCTCCCTAGTACATCGACCAAGTGCTTCCTCTGTTGAGACTATCATTGAACATGAACGAGACATTTTTGAAAGCGTACCATGTGCAACCTTTGGACATTCTTAATCAAAAATCCTACCTCCAAATTATTATAATGAATTAGATGTTCTTTGATTCACTATGTCCATTGATTAAAAATGTTCTGATTGACTACATCTAATCAAAATATATATGTATTTCTTGTAAAGTAGCAAAAAGAAAACAAAAAAATGTATTTTGTGGTGTTATTATTTTAACTGTTTTTTAATTTTTGATTTGTTTCATTTATACAATATTTAAGCACTTAAACAATAATATATATAATCTTATAAACAGTTGTATGATATATACGTTAGGGAAATTAGGACAAGGATGATTAAATTCTATTTCTTTCATAATATCAAAAAAAGCTATGGGATATACCAGACATTACACAGGTATTGCTAAAAATAGATATAACATTTTTTTATAATTTAAATATATAGATAATAAACTTTTCATTTGGAGTTTTTAGGCCTCCATAAGTGCTTTATTTGCAATCATATGTTAAAATCTGTGAACTATCCAAATCTTCACATTCTTTTGAAAATTTAATAAATGTATCACATCCATGTATGCCTAAAGCTTTTTTGATCAAATAGCCACAAACATATTTAAATGGATTTTGAACTATTATATCTTGTCCTGTAGCTGTAATTAGGAAGAAAAACAGCTTCTTGAGTGTTTTTATTTATTTCAGGATACAGAGACAATATTTTTTACATCTAATTGTAGCAAGTGCTTGTCCAGGTCTTCATTACAATTCATGGAATTGCAATGAAGATAATTTTGACAAAAACGTTTTTTAAATGCCCTTTCGAATTGTACAGGTGTTGGATTAATTAAATTCCCACCCTGTTGCCTAATGGACCCAACAAATTTTTCTAGACAGTCACTGTTGATTCTTCTAGCCATTAAATATTTAAATCCCGCAGCAGATAACCATTCTCATACAAATTTTAAACCATAAAATCGTTAAATATAAACATCTAATTTTTATGATGTGACGTTAATAGTATTTAATTATATACATAGGTAATATAAGCAATTGGGCAGCATTTTGCTTAACGGGTGACTTACAACAGGCATTTGCTAAAACTCATCTGAAGTCAAAAATTTGTACGTAGGAACAAAAATTGAAATAAAATAATTCTTGTATTGTAAGAGCCGATTCCACCGTTGTGTTAAACGGAGATTAAAGTGACATTGTTAATGTAAAAATGTCATTTTAAACTTCGTTTAACACAACGGTGGAATCGGTCCTAAATTCATTAAAAATTTACTAATTTGTAATTGTGTGTTTTAATAAATATTATTGTTATATGTTGTTTCACTTCTAAAAAGATACCTACATAACCTCATTTTAAATAAAAAAATAAGGTGCTGAGTTAATTTATTAGTTCCAGGAAGAAACCAAAAACTGTTTGACACATTTCATACAATGAATGGCATACAAAAGTAATTTATTTTATTCTAATGATAAAATTTTAAAATTGGCACATCTATATTTTCACCGGAACTCATTTATTTAAGTTACACAATATTTTGATTAATTTATTTGCCTAGAATACATTAAAATATCGCGACGAATTGATAACCTCCTCCTTTTTTGAAGTCGGTTAAAAATGTTATATGTACATGTTTTAATTTTTTTCTAATTGTACATCGCTAATTTGCAATTTTAGAGTTTACTTTTCTCCGTGTAGAAATAAGCGACAAAAACGTCAACTGTCATTGAAAATCTGACCACCCCGACATCAAAGAAGCCGACGCAATCTGTCGCTACTGTATTGTTCTTTATACTGGGGTATTAGTATGAAGCGGAGTTAAATATACGTCTGTGGACTAGAACCCCAGTATATATACCAATCAGTATTGGCACTCTGAGGCGGCACGTTTGATCTTTAAAAGTAGAAATTTTAGTTGACACTTGACGTTTTCGGGATATGAAAAGTTTTCTTTACACGGACTTGGTATACCTGGTTAGTTGAATTTTTGTTCTGCTGCTTTTCAAATTTGTGTGTATGAGCGAGATGTGAGATACCTTTATAGACAACGGTTGAACAACTTAATTACTTTGAAGAAGAAAATAGATTAGATATCAGGACAGTCTTCGCAAATGTGAGAAGGCAGAACCGTTTTAAAATTTTTTTATAATGTGAAATATTACTTTTTAGTGAAAAGTTTAATTACTTTTAGTTCAAAATATAACGTGAGCTTGTTAAGGAAAATATATAACACACAAAGTTAGAGTAACAAAATAGAGGTTTTGCTTTATTTCTTAAGAATTAATCTAATCTAAAACTTTTCTATGTTGTAGAAATTTATTCTATACATTATTTAGGTACTTACTGAAAAATCTATAGAAAAGTATGTAGTTTTAAATATAAAAATTTATAATAGAGACATATTTAGTGCAGTTTTTTTTACAAATATATGCTCAGGACTTGTTTTAGTGAATGAGTTCAAGTATGGCAGACTAAAATCGTTACTTTTTATTATGAATTTATTTAAAAATGGGAACTGTATGTACATGGTTTTCGTAGTTTTTACACTTGTAATAAAAATATCAAAGTTATGTTTATTGGCCATTTACCACACACAGCAAATTCATAAACACTATACATATCACTATTTGACATTCTTATTAAACTCATTAATTTAAAATTAACTTTAAACTGAGTGACTACACACAGAATTGTTTGAAAGCAGCCATAAGGTATAATTTATTTATTGGATACTATAAAAAATTAATAGTAGTTACATGTAGAGTTAAGTAACAAGAACTTTAAAAACAACTTAATTTAGTACAGTCCTCAACTTTCTTAGGCTAACATTAAAGATATCTATTTGGACCTCACTAAAAAACTCATTGATAACAGCCATTATCTTGTTAAGAGGAAATATACTACTTGGATCTAAACTAAATAATTTTTTGTTACTTGGGATTCTTAGATTAATCTTTGCCACATTAAAATTTATATAGTCAATCAAATCACAATCTTTGTACTTAACATTATTTAAAATAGAGTACAAAATATATCACAGCCTGTTGCTTTCTTCTTTGTAAAAGAGATTTAATCTTAAAACTATCGAACATAGTTTTATATGAGATCTTATAAAGGTACAAGTATTTTTTATGGCATAAAAAGGTACGGTAAAAATATTTTTTGTACTTTTTCAATATGATCAATATGTGTGGCTTTCAAGGGCATCCATATTTGTGAAACATACTCAAGATGGGGTCTTAGTAAGGCATTATATAATCTGATTTTGGTGGTAATTCTAATTTTTTTTTGTATTTCTGATTTAAAAACCCAAAGCTTTTATTGTTTTTATAGTTATGTGTAAGAAATGGTTATTAAACTTCAAATTAGACTGAAAGACAACTCCTAAATCCTTTATCTCATATTCACGATTTAATGTGACATCACAGGTCTTGTGTCTAATGTAAAAAATTAAGAGGCTACAGATCCTTACAACTTAAAATATGCATATGTTTGTAAGTGTTAAATGGACGGATAAAAAGTGTTGTTTTTATTTACAACTATAAGAAACATATTATTTTTGATACCTGATAATCAATAAACAATATATTTTTTGAAGTAGTAACAGATTTATTAATACACAACTATTATTTTGTTACAAATATTTATATTATAATATTTATAATTAACA